TTCAACTTGGTAAAGATGAAACCAATTTGTTGTGTCATGGAGATTTTCATATGTGGAATATTGCATATTCCAAAAATTTGGAGAAAGTGAAGTTTTTTGATTTTCAGCTTATTCGCCTTGCCCCTTGTATGACTGATTTTCATCAATATCTTTGTCAAGTTAGTTCTCCATGTTTTCGACGAAGTCACTTGACAGGTTTAATACGTTTGTATTCTGAAACATTTCAGGAAGTTTGTCAGCAATATGGTATTGATCAAGATTGTTTTTATAATGAAGCTTGGTTTTTTGAAGAGTATAGAGTTACCTCTCCATGGGGATTTTTGTTTGGATTTCTGTTTAATTTAAAAAGATTTGTTCCTTCTGACTTTTATAATGTTCTTGAAAAGTTGAATAATAATGATGAAATTATTGAATATTTATTAGTTCAAAAATCAAAAGAGTTTTGGGACATGATCAGTTTCTATCTAGATAGTCTTTGTGAATTAGAAGAACAAGATGTAATAAGTATCATGGAAAGATTGCAGAAAGAGTATTGAAGATCTTTCAATGAAAAAAATATTTGATTTTTTTAAATTAATCTTTTAGGTTATTATTTTTATTGCTCTGATTTTTTAAATACTTTTTAAAATAATTGTTCAGCATCCAATGTTGCAAATAAAAATTTTTTTAAAATAATTGTTCAGCATCCAATGTTGCAAATAAAAAATTTTTTAAAATAATTGTTCAGCATCCAATGTTGCAAATAAAAAATTTTTTAAAATAATTGTTCAGCATCCAATGTTGCAAATAAAAAATTTTTTAAAATAATTGTTCAGCATCCAATGTTGCAAATAAAAAAATTTTTAAAATAATTGTTCAGCATCCAATGTTGCAAATAAAAAAATTTTTAAAATAATTGTTCAGCATCCAATGTTGCAAATAAAAAAATTTTTAAAATAATTGTTCAGCATCGGATGTTGCAAATAAAAAAATTTTTAAAATAATTGTTCAGCATCCAATGTTGCAAATAAAAAATTTTTTAAAATAATTGTTCAGCATTCAATGTTGCAAATAAAAATTTTTTTAAAATAATTGTTCAGCATCGGATGTTGCAAATAAAAAAATTTTTAAAATAATTGTTCAGCATCCAATGTTGCAAATAAAAAAATTTTTAAAATAATTGTTCAGCATCCAATTTTGCAAATAAAAAAATTTTTAAAATAATTGTTCAGCATCGGATGTTGCAAATAAAAAAATTTTTAAAATAATTGTTCAGCATCCAATGTTGCAAATAAAAAATTTTTTAAAATAATTGTTCAGCATTCAATGTTGCAAATAAAAATTTTTTTAAAATAATTGTTCAGCATCGGATGTTGCAAATAAAAAAATTTTTAAAATAATTGTTCAGCATCCAATGTTGCAAATAAAAAAATTTTTAAAATAATTGTTCAGCATCCAATGTTGCAAATAAAAAAATTTTTAAAATAATTGTTCAGCATCCAATGTTGCAAATAAAAAAATTTTTAAAATAATTGTTCAGCATCCAATGTTGCAAATAAAAAATTTTTTAAAATAATTGTTCAGCATCCAATGTTGCAAATAAAAAATTTTTTTAAAATAATTGTTCAGCATCCAATGTTGCAAATAAAAATTTTTTTAAAATAATTGTTCAGCATCCAATGTTGCAAATAAAAATTTTTTTAAAATAATTGTTCAGCATCCAATGTTGCAAATAAAAAATTTTTTAAAATAATTGTTCAGCATCCAATGTTGCAAATAAAAAATTTTTTAAAATAATTGTTCAGCATTCAATGTTGCAAATAAAAAATTTTTTAAAATAATTGTTCAGCATCCAATGTTGCAAATAAAAAAATTTTTAAAATAATTGTTCAGCATCGAATGTTGCAAATAAAAAATTTTTTAAAATAATTGTTCAGCATCCAATGTTGCAAATAAAAAAATTTTTAAAATAATTGTTCAGCATCCAATGTTGCAAATAAAAAAGTTAAGTAAGTTAAAAAAAAAAATAATGAGTGAATAAAGATTTTTAGAAAAGCATATTAATGATGTTTTATATTCTCATATTGAATAAGTTTTTATATTTTAATTCTGAATTATTAATAAATAAATTTAATTTAATCGAAAATTGTTGTTTTTAAATATTTAAATATTTTTGCTGTTTATACTATTATGTAAACTTCTACTTCAATTTCCAAAAAATTTTATATGGACTTTGAAGCTTGTCTAAGTTTTTAGGAATATTTTCCCTAATGGTTCAAATGCTTTTTCAAACATTAAATTTGATTTAATTATATACTTTACCAAGGGTATTTCATTTGATCAATGTTAATCGCTAATTGAGACCTAAAAAATGATATAACATGCTTAGCATATAAACTTTCTAAATATGATACTTCAAAACATATATAAAAAAATAGTGTTTGTGTGATTTTTATTATCATATTTTTTATCTAATCCCTTGCTTATCCCATAATTTATTTTTTAATTATGAATCTTCATCTAGTATAGTTTCTGGAAGTGCATAAGTGTAAGTAAAGATTTAATCTCTAAATTAAATCTTATGTCATTTATTACATTTCTTGTGATCTCTGTGATTTTTTGTAATTATTATAATATTTTATTGGATTGACATTTTAAATTTTTAAATTAAGTTTTAATTATATCATCTTTTTTTTAAAATTTTTAAATTTGTTTTTAGTTTAAGCTTATAAGAATTAAGTTTGATGAAAATTAGAAAAAAACTTATTAAATAAAATTAGAAAAAAACTTATTTTTAAAAAGAAATTGTTTAAATAGAACTTTAAAAAAAAAAAAGAAAAAAGAGAACCTTTAAAAAAAGAGAAAATTTATGCATGTATATGTTACTTTAGAAACATAAGAAATATAAGGAAAATATAATTAAGAAAAATAAGAAATTTAGAAAATTGCTATGAAATTTTTTTTTGAAACAGCAAAAAAATGAAAACATGGATTTAACCGCTAACAGTAGTTGATGTTTTAATATATATATATATATATATATATATATATATATATATATATATATATATATATATATATATATATATATATATATATATATATATATATATATATATATATATATATATATATATATATATATATAGATAGATAGATAGATATAGTTAATATTCAAAAATAACATTTTTGAATATATATATATATATATATATATATATATATATATATATATATATATATATATAGTTAATATTCAAAAATAACATTTTTGAATATATATATATATATATATATATATATATATATATATATATATATATATATATATATATATATATATATATATATTTATATGTTATAATATATATATATATATATATATATATATATATATATATATATATATATATATATATATATATATATATTGCATAGTGTATTGCACCAGGTCAAAAAAAATTGTCATAGTCATTTCGGGATGTTATGTAGATAGTTATATTGACATGAGTAATGGTAGAAGATGATGTAAATGAAGTGCAACATGAGTATGAAATCAAAAACCATATGGTTAGTGTAGAAAAATTAAGAATTGTGTTTTAACTGGCTCTAAAGTCATTCTCTACAAACAACATGTATTCTAAATGTTTAAAAAGTTATTGTAGGCATCTTACAGCTGATGAGTTTGTTATAAGCCAAAAGATTTTTTATTTGAAAGTGAAGTAAATATTTATGGGTTGGAAAAGCTGCCTTCACTATCAATAAAAAGTATAGTAACAAAGACCAAAAAGGCTAAGTAGTATATACCACATTAAATTACTTGAACTTGAAACTAATTTTTCCGTTAAGTGGGTGAAAAATGCTTGGCAGATTTAGATAACAATGAAGATCAAAAATAACACTAAATAAATTTTTCTCATACCTTTGAAGTGTGATATATAGGCAAGCTTATTATTTGCCTTATGTTTTACCTTTTTTCTCCAACTAGCTAATAAACTATATAAAACTATCAAGACTTTTCTCATTTCATATTTAAAAATGTGTTTTACACTATTTGGTCTATATTCTTAAAATGTTAGAAATATTGTCAAACTTTGAAGTTCAACATAAAAAACCAATAAACATTTTTTTTTAAATTTCAGAATAAAAATAAAAAACTTTTTAATAACAAAAAATTGTTTTGTATTTAAAAAAAAAAATGTATTTTACTTTTTAACTGTTTATAAAAACAAAAATTTAAAATTAAAGAAACATTTCCTCTAAAAATTACAAAATGTTTATTACAATGAATAAGGCCTTTACCTAATTGTAAATTAAATAACATTTAATTTAAAATACCATTGTAATGTAAAATACCATTCTAAATCTAAAACACCATTTAATTAGTTTGATTTTCATCAGAATGGTTGCATCCTGTTGTATTTCTTTTAGTATATTATTCTAACATTGCAATTAAATACTTCAAATTTTACTATTTCATAATCAATTAAATATTATCATAATTTTTTAAATCAATTTATTAAAGTTTTTAAAGCAAATAGTTTTTAATAGCAAATAATATAAAGCAAATAAAAACACTGTCTCAAAAAAAGAAGTCAAAATATCAGAAACAATAGTAAAAGTTTTTAATTTTTTTTATTATCTTTTTTATCTAGAGATCCTCATGTTCCAATAGTAATATTAAAATATAAAATTTAAAGACCTGCCTAATAAAAAAGTAAATGTGTTATGTGTAAAAAGTATATGTATAAAAAGTATATGTATTTTATTTCCCTTGTTTTTAATTGGTTGTATTTTTAAATAAATAAAGTTTTTTATACTATCATACAAATTAGAAATTTCATAAAATCTGAAAAGATTTATTTTGCCATAAAGTTTGGTGTGACATTAATCTATTGCATTAATATTTAGTAAGCATTCTTCTATTGGATAAAATAACAATTATAAGTAATTAAATATGTTTTTAAACTTTTCTTTACCTAAACAAGCTTAATAAAATCCTAATAAATTTGTATATTTTGTAAGAAAAAGCACAGATATCCTATATAATTTTTCAAAATGGCTAACAGACCAAAGTCTGCAAATCAACTTCAAGAATATCGTGATAAAAATCATGTGAGTAATTATTTATTATTACTTTTTACATAAATATATAATTCTCAAGAAGCAAGCTTTGGAGATAATAATAATTTATGACATACATATAATTATTTCAAATATAATTATTTTATTATGTGTGTGTGTATATATATATATATATATATATATATATATATATATATATATATATATATATATATATATATATATGTATATATATATATATCTATATATATATATATATATATATATATATATATATATATATATATATATATATATATATATATATATATATATATATATATATGTATATATATACATATGTGTGTATGTATGTATATATATATATATGTGTGTGTATATATATATATATATATACATATTTTTTTTAATTGTATATATATATATATATATATATATATATATATATATATATATATATATATATATATATATACAATTTTTTTTTCAAACAAAGGTTTTGAAGCAAATAAAATCTTATTTTTAACTGGCCTTAGGCTGCTGCTCTGACAACTGAAGCTGGCTCCCCAATGGAGACAAATACAGCCTCAATGACTGTTGGGCCAAATGGACCATTGCTTATTCAAGATAACAACTTTATTGAAAACATGGCTCATTTTGATCGTGAGAGAATACCTGAACGTGTAGTGCATGCTAAAGGTGCTGGAGCATTTGGCTATTTTGAGGTTACTCATGATGTATCTAAATACACAAAATTGGCTGCTCTGAATGGAGTGGGAAAGAAAACTAGAATGGTTGTTCGTTTTTCCTCTGTAGGTAATGTAGCATAACAAATAGAATTTTAAGATATAGTATAGTAATAAGTTTGTAGATTAAAGAGGCGTATAGATATTATAAATGGTGCATTAGGTTTTAGAGAATTTTAAAATTTGATTACAATGTATTTTTGTGTAATATTTAAAATAATGAATATGTGTTTTTTATCGCTATTACTATTAGTATACCATGTAAACCATTTAAAATATTTTTGTTTGAATCTTTTTTTGTTGCTGTTTTGCTTCTAGGAGGAGAATCTGGAAGTGCTGATACAGCACGTGACCCACGTGGTTTTGCTTTAAAGTTTTATACTGAGGAAGGAAATTGGGATTTAGTTGGAAACAACACGCCAATTTTTTTTATTCGTGATCCAATTTTATTTCCCAGTTTTATACACACTCAAAAGAGAAACCCGAAGACTCATTTAAAAGTATGCTTCAAAATGGAAACCTATATATTTTATTTATTTTTTATATCTATTGGGGGAGAACATTTATTATCGCCAAATGTTTTTTGTTATATATATATATATATATATATATATATATATATATATATATATATATATATATATATTATATATATATATATATATATTTTTTTTTTCTTTAAAAAAAAATTTTTTTAGGACCCTGATATGTTTTGGGATTTCATTTCGCTTCGACCTGAAACCACGCATCAAGTAATGTTTTTGTTTTCAAACCGAGGCACACCTGCGAGCTATCGTCATATGAATGGTTATGGTAGTCATACTTTTAAACTTGTTAATAAAGATGGAGAAGCATGTTGGTGCAAATTTCATTTTAAGGTTTCTTTTTTTTTTTTAATTTATAACATTTTTTCAAGAAAGTCATTTAGCTCGTAAATACAAATAACTTATTTTTTTTTTTTTAGGTGGGGGTGGGGGATGGAGGGGTAAAATTCCTAAAATCTTTGAAAAATCTTAAAAGTTGAAATATCAAAAGCTGTCTAAGATTGCCTAGGTTACTGCTTATTTTGCTTTTATGTTTAAAATTGGTGGATTAAATAATTCTCTCATAATTTTATTTGCATGCCCAAATAATATCCTACGCTGATATCTTAGCTAATATGGCTGATATGTTTCTAACTAAAAGTATGTGAGTTGTCTCAACTAAAAGTATGTGAGTTCATATTTTATATGATGTACCAGGGCTCAAATTAAGCATATTGCAATCGCAATTGCTTTTTGCTCAAAGACATTTACTTGCAAAAGTTAACCATGAAATGTTTCTGTATATATCTTTCATGTTGTTAAAACAAATTAAGCTTTTAACTAAAAATTATTTTAACAAGAAATTTTGAGTAGAATAAAAAAATAGAATCGAAAAAGGCATTACTTTTGTTTATATTTTCATTTTATTTATAGCGTTATTAGTATTAAACATTTTCTATGAATACCCAAGTTGTTTTTAGGATTTTACTTAAAAAAAAAACAACTTATTTGAACAAATTAATTTTAGTCTTCTAAAATTCTCTGATTTAAATAATTTTGAATTTAAAATTTAAAAAAAAAATGTAAAGTAAAATTTAGAAGAATTTTTAAGCTTGCTTACAATAATTATGAATTTAATTGAAATAAAACTGCAGCAACATCCGTAGTAAGATCATTCCTGAAATCAAGCATAGATCTAGCTAAAGTAACAATATCAGATTTAGAAAATTGTGCAAATGAGGAAGAATTTTTTTATTTAAATTGTAAACATTTTTAATAGTTTAATATTTTTTGTAAAAGTGCAATTATTTTTTTCGTTCTGGAAAATAGTTTAAAAAGTAGAAACATTCTATTGCAAATAATAATAGAGTGATGAAAATTAAATTTTAAAAAGCATATTATTCTACTTTTGTTCGAAAAAAAAAATTTAAGCCAGGATCTATTCTAGGAAAAAAGTTTGGGTGGCGGTACCTCTTGTTCCAGTGAAGTTTAGTGGAAAAGGAGTGTTGTTTTTGCGAAAAATTCAAAATTTGCCGTAAAATTAAAAGAAAAAAAAAAAAACATTAATTTTTAATTTGTGCAGCGTCCAAATTGGTGCTCAAATACAGTCAATGCTATCAAAAATGGTCTAGAATAGCCCCTGTAAGCATGTAACTCAAAAAATATGCTAAAATCATTAGATACTTTGCTCTTTCTATTTTATTGCTTCTTTATCTAGCTTACTATTAAAAATTAAGTAATTAATTTTTTCATTCAAAAGGTTTTCAAGTCAATGTTTTCAGTCAATGTTTTCATTCAATTTTTTCGTTCAAATTGATGTGCAATTAAATAAAATGAGAGAAAAAAAAATTGGATTAATAAATCAAATTATACTTCCTTAAGTCTAAGTATATGGTTAAATTTTTTTTTGAAAAAAAAGTATTTTGAACAGAATTAGAATAATTTTTTTTTTTTAATTTTTATTCTATTTCACTTGTCAAATTTTTGCAATAGAATGTTGATACTTTTTAAACTTTTTTAAGAAATAAAAAAATAATGATATCTTTTCATAAAATAATTAACATTTAAAAATGTTTATGATTTAAATATAACTGTTTTATTTCCTCACTTGCACTATTTTTAAAATTGTATTGTTACTGTAGCTAGATCTATGTTTATTTTCAGGAATGATCCTTTGCTATACCAATGAGTATTAAAAATGTTACTGCTGTTTCCATTAAATTAAATTTATTATTATTGTGAGTGTTAGTGAGTGAGTTAAAAATTTGCAAAATTCTTTAAAAATTTTCAAAGTATCTTCAAAATGTCAAATTTTAAATTCAAGATTAATTAAATAAGAAAATTTCAGAAGACTAAAATTCCCTAGCCCAAATCCCTTATCCTAGATTTCTTTTTAAAATTCCTAAAAACAATTTGAGTAATTATAGAAAATATTTAATCATCATATCGCTATAAAAAAATGAAAATAATAAAAAAAGTTGTGTTTTTGATATTCAATTCAAAGTTTCTTGTTAAAATAGTTTTTAGTTAAAAGCTTATTATGTGTTAATAACATATAAGATTTAAATAGAAATATTTCTTTTGTTTAAATTTTGCCACTAAATGTCTTTGAACATGTTAAGTATATTTAATAGTTGAGTAACGTAACTAATAAAATATTTGTATTTATTCATACAAATTGTGAATTGTTTAAAAAGGAATTTTAGCTCATTTTTCAATTCAAACTCCGTCTAGATTTTTTTAGAAATGATGGCAACAGAAGTTATTTTCTTTCTTGTTTTTCTAAAAATGATTATAATTGCCTAATAATGTTGAGATCTGGGGGTTTTGATGGCCTTTTGAGGTAACTCTTTAACCCCCAAAATGCTCCTCATGCCGTTCTTTCACAATTCGAGTTGTATGGATTGGGACATTATAATCTTGAAAGATGGCATTCCCTCCTCTAAAACAGTACTTGAAACTGTAGGACATCCAAATAGTTTCGGCTGTTAATTAATTTCAGCTATGACATCATCTATGCTATTTAATAGATAGCTAAATTTGCATTAATTGATATGTGTACATGGTTTCTATATCTAATTTTCCAAGTTTATTTAAAAATTGTTGCACTTAAAAAAAATAAAGCATAAGTTATAATATTTTCCTTTTTTTTTTTTATTTTATTTTTTTTATTCGAAACTGTTTTAAATTTGTTTAGAAAAGTTTTGTAAAATAATTAATAAAATATTTTATGGTAAGTTACATAACCTAACTAAAGTGATTTTTTGTGTGACAAAAATGTTCTTATATAAATACAATTCAATAAAAATCAAATAATCTTGATGAGATTTGAATCATTTAAATTTAATTGTGATAATTTTTTGCAAATTTAACAAATTTTGGTATACTTTTTTGGTATACTTTATTGTTTTTTAAATGTGTTGTACATAAGGGTTTATTGTGAGGTAAAATATTTTCTTTTTATTGTTTTCTCTATGTGTTGTACATAAGGTTGTAAGATAAAATTTGTAAGTATATAAATTAAAATGAAAAATTATGTTTTAATTAAAAAGTACAATACTAGAATTAGCAAAAAAATGTATATGTTTATTAGTTTTAGTAAAAACTAGATTTTATCAAATCTAAAAAATGTATTTTTTCTAATAATTTTTGAAATTAAAAAACCTCCTACATTAGATAATTGATTTTTTAAATAATTTATTTTATAGACTAATCAAGGTATAAAGAATCTCTCAGATAAAGAAGCTGGTTTATTAGCAGGACAGAATCCTGACTATTACATCCAAGATTTGTATGACTCAATTGAAGAAGGAAATTTTGTAAGTAAATCATAACTTTTTTTGATTTTATATTAATAATTTTTTTTTTTGCATTTTCAAATTTTTTTTTTTTTTTTGAATTTAGCCTTCTTGGACAATGTATTTACAAATCATGAGTTTAGAACAAGCAAAGAAGCATCCTGTGAACCCATTTGACATCACAAAAGTAAATTGTTTTTTTTCTATGATACATGTCAATAAATTTTTATAAATTATTTATAACTTATATATTTATGTATTTCAAAGTTTATAATTATAACTTATATATTTATATATTTTATGATTGTCAAAACAAAAGTTTGACAAAAATTTATTTATAAACATCAAGTTTGTAAACAGCATGTTCTTTTACTATATTTATAAAAAAAAAAATCTTATATAAGATAAATTTCCAAACAACTTATTCATTCAAAATTTGGTTTCATGTATTTTAAAAAGTTCAATACTATTTTGCTCAGTGTAATTTTTAATAAACTCAGTACTAAGTTCCTGAGTTTAATAAAGCAACATTCACTTATATATCTTTTCCATATAGTAAATGCTGGTTAAACTGAACTATATTTATATTTTAATATCTTTTAAATTGTTTTTTTTCTTTTTCTTTTTTTTTTTTAGTTTTTTTGGGGAAAAAATATATATATATATATAATAATATATATATATATATATATATATATATATATATATATATATATATATATATATATATATATATATATATATATATATATATATATATATATTTGATATTAAAAAATGATAAAATAGTGATAGTGATAATTGATAATTAAAATATAACCGTAGCCTAAAAAAATGTAGCTGTTGTATAATAAAGAACGAAAAAGATAATGAATTCAATAAAGTATGAAAAAAATAAATTACTTTTAAACTGAATTCTTTTTTAAATTTTGTTTAATAACTTTTATCTGCATGTAAATCTTTTCTCTGTCTCTGATCCAGTGCATTTTGTACAGTTTTGCAGTTTGCAGCCATATTCAGTTTGCAGCCATATTAAATATCCTTATTTTTTCACTAATGTATGCACTTGTATCAATTTGCTATTATCAAGTAAAAAAAAATTACTATTACACCGTTTGTTTTAACTTCTTTTGATCGCATATGAAATAGGGCCTTGCAAATCTTTGAAATTTTACATTGAATTAACTCTGAGAAGTGATTCAAGATTCAATTAGAAAATATCCATTATTCGAATCAAGCTTATTTTATAAAAGCATTTATTTCATAATATATTATAGAGTAAATGACCCACTCTCAGGGATGTGAAGTCATATAAACTTTCAAGGACTCTAAGACTCTGGATTACAGGGTTAAGAAATAGGGACCAATTTTTTTTTATATAATTTTTTTGAGTCAACTAACCAGAGTTTTTAAGGATAAAATAGTCCTTGAAATGCTAGAGGAGACTATATATAGTTTTAATTATGCTGTTTTATTTCTATGCTCAAAAAGTAACTATATCTTTTAAGTTGAAGGTATTATATTATATAATTTAAATAACAAATTTGTTTCTATTGTACTTACATACAGCAGTGGTGTAATGCTGTATGCTAGAATCTCTGATTTCAATTACCGCGCTCAGCTTTTTTAATTTTAAACATTAAGCATGTTGTGATTTCTGCAAAATGTCAGTGTAACTGCCCTATTTTGTGATGACAATCAATACTTTACTGCATTGAGTTATAAATTATGGTTTTATAATAAATAGTTACCTTGAATCTTTTAGAAAAATTTTTCAAAATTTTTATAAGTATTAGAAGTAGAAAAAAAAATTTACTTGTAAATATATAGGTGGCTTCAATTTGATGTTACATTTTCTGATTTGCAGAGGCTTAGTTAATAATGTAAAAAAATAACTTAGGTTATGTCTTCTTGTCATGTCTTCTTCACATAACTCAAAATGTTATTGCAAGTCCTTAAAAATGAGTTAAATGAGAATTTCTATACAAATTTGGTACTTCACCAATTAGTATATTATATATTTTACCAATTAGTTAATTGGTTAGAACAACACTGTGCTCAGTAAATATCATAAAAGTGCTAATTGAATTTTTTGAAAGTTTTTGAAAGTTCTAATTGCCAACTGCTGCATTTCTTGTATGGACAACACTAATTTTATTTCTGGGAAAAATTGGTGGATTAGAATGTCTTTTTAAGCATGCTATTCCCATGTCAGTATGGATTTGATGAATCTTGCTCTATGCTTTAAACATTTGCTTGGAGCTTTTTATTCAATTAGTTCAATTCTGATGCAACATTAAAAACTTATAAGTTTTTAATAATGTTTTAAGTTTTTTCATTAAAAGCTGCTAGCTCTCAATTTTCTCCAAAAAATTGCAAGTATCTACACAGATAAACAGCTCATGAAAGAGCATGTAAGGCTGTCTATAATGGATACCAACAGTTTTTAGGTGGTCTCTTGGTCAGTTTAAATAGAAAGTATGAACCTAAAGTCATGGTTTTATTTTTTTTCAGTTTTTTAAAAGAGTATTTGACCACATTACTCTTGCTTTATGATGTATTCTCAGCTACATCTTCCCTAAATGTAGCATTATTAAAAAGAAAAGAATTTTTGTGCCTTACTTATGTTAACACTTCTAAATCTTTATTTGATAAATTTCTATCAGGGGATTGCACTTGGTTTTTAAAAAAAAAAATTGATAAATTTAAACAAATTAGTTCAGAACAAATTGCTATTCCTGCTGAGACAAATTTTTGCAAAAAAAAAGTGTCTTTATATGTCTACAAATAAAGCACATATAAAAATTTTTTATCTGCTTTCAAAGTTGAAATCAATAGAGAATTCGTTCACCTTGAGTTTTGGCTAAAGTTTGTTATTTTTGACCAACAGATATTACCTAAAGCAAATAAGTAGGTTGATGGTTTGTATAAGAGATCATTGCTTTAACGGAGTATTATGGTGCAGGTAAAAAGAGTGTGTGTTCAAAAGAAAAAGGTTTTTTGTTAATATTATTGTGGAGGTTACAATAGTATGATAATCATGTTTTAAAAGTGCAAGAGTTACAGAGAAAGTTTTTATTTGAAAATTATATAAACAAAGAATCAGGAAGTAATTAAGATCCTATGTATAAGATACAGCAATTATATACCAACAAAATTATGGAGCAACTGCTTTAGGATAATATAATCAAAGAAATTTATCCTAATTTCCAAAATTTACTGCAATTGTTAATAGTTTCTCCACTTTATACTGCTTGCATAGATTGTCTTTTTTCTAGAATGAAACTTCTGAAGACTTGCCTGCGCAGTCAACTTGAGCAAGTAACACTTAAAGCACTTTTTCTTATTGCCTCTGAAGCACTAAAAGAAGGATTTTCAGACTGGTTTTGAATATTTTGCAAAAAAGCAATAACCTGAAAATAAAAATTTTATTATTTTATTTTATTTATGTATTTAAATAAATTGTATTAAAAGTAAAAATTCTCCACCTAACTCAAAAATTGGCAGGCGACCAAAATTAACAAACTGGTTACTTTCAAAATTAACAAACTGATTACTAATATATATATATATATATATATATATATATATATATATATATATATATATATATATATATATATATATATATATATATATATATATATACTCATATAGTGTCGCTTTAAGAGCGTTTTAATGTAAAAAAAGTTTCTTGCGACTACAATTTTAATTACCTCGTCTCTTAAGCTGTTTTTGATTGTCATCGAAATGTCAAAGCAATTAATTTATGCGGAAGTACATTAAATTTAATTGTTTTTTAAAAAATTTTTAAAAAACCGCAATTATAACGACTAGAAAGTTTTTTTTAATTAGTGGTGTTTTTGTTATTGATTTAATAAAAAACATTTTTAAAACATGCTTAAATGTTGCTACATCGACTATCTTATAGCCTGACTCGCAACGGAGTGCTGCTACATCGACTGACAAATAGCCTGACTCGCAACGGAGTGCTGCTACATCGACTGACAAATAGCCTGACTCGCAACGGAGTGCTGCTACATCGACTGACAAATAGCCTGACTCGCAAGGGAATGCTGCTACATCGACTGACAAATAGCCTGACTCGCAAGGGAGTGCTGCTACAACGACTGACAAATAGCCTGACTCGCAAGAGAGTTCTGCTACATCGACTGAGGGTTTGGTTTGGCCAGGCAGGCTATCAATTAAAAAAAAAAAATTTAATTTTTAAAACTTTTTCTGGTCTGGTTTATTAACGCGCTCTTTAAAACTACAGTTTATGGGAAACTTTTTTTGATGCCATGCAAGAGACATGCAAGAGTGTATATATATATATATATATATATATATATATATATATATATATATATATATATATATATATATATATATATATATATATATATATATATATATGTATATATATATATATATATATATATATATATCTGTATATATATATATATATATATATATATATATATATATATATATATATATATATATATATATATATATATATATATATATATATATATTATATTTTGGACTGCCACAGATAATGTCTTTTATGTTTTTAGGTGTGGAGCCACCGTGAATATCCATTGATTCAAGTTGGAAAAATGGTGTTGGATCGTAATCCTGAAAATTATTTTGCTGATGTTGAACAGGCTGCTTTTTCTCCTGCACATATGCCACCAGGTGTTGAGACATCTCCTGATAAAATGTTACAGGTTTAACTATGTTTTTGCTTATACAAAATTACTATTGTACTTGCATTTATTGTGAAAGTTGTATATATATATGTATGATTATCATATCAGTTGGATGGCAAACATGACAAGGTCATATACATAAAAGCTAACCTTAAAACCATGTTGCATATATATATATATATATATATATATATATATATATATATATATATATATATATATATATATATATATATATATATATTTATATATATATATATCAATAATAAAAGTAATTTCTCGGTAGACAGTGCTCAATACAAAAGTAGAGCAAATATGTATTAAATTAATAATAAAATAAAAACAATTAGATTTGAAACATAACTCAGAGTTTCACGCTTTATGCGATCATCAGACGTTACAAACAACCGTAACAACAACAAAAATTATATACAAAAATACAATACAGTGTTAGCTTAGATGACGTTAAAGTTGCAAATAACAAATTTGTTTTCGTGGCGACATTTTGATATTAGTTCATTTCGTTTATTCAGTAGTTTCAAAGATGACGTAATGATATGGTATTTTTCGGTTAAGCAAAGGTTACATAACTTTCCTCCAGGTTTAAATGGTTCCGCCCTATCAATAACTTTCCACGTAAGAATAGGATTTGAAAATCCCTTTTTTTTCATTTCCTAGATATATTTCGAAAGTTCTGTGGTGTTAGCTTTACTTTCGTATTGAAAGGAATTTTTATGTTTGTACCAGCGATCTTTAAAGGTGTGTTCTGTTAGACCAATATTATATATATATATATATATATATATATATATATATATATATATATATATATATATATATATATATATAGATATAGATATAGATATAATATATATATGTATATATCAGGGATGCGAAGTCCGGAGTCGGAGTCCGGAGTCGGAGTCCATGGAGTCCCTATTTTAGCCCGGAGTCCGGAGTCTCGGGAGTCCATAAAAATTTTAGGACTCCAGGACTCTTTTTTTTTTTTTTATAGTTATTAATATGCATAAGAAATACCTGATAGTCTTGTCACAAAACACTGTAAAAGAGCATTTGACCGGAAAGCTCATCTCCTTCCTTACTAATTCGAACCAATACTCAGATTGAGTATCGGTTAGAATGTTACGCCTTGTTAAGAGGCGTTACCAAGCTCGCATTTTACGTGCGAAAAGGCCATATGCTTATGCGTTCAGCAGTTTAACGTTAAGAGAAAACTTTCTTCTTTTAGAATATTTAATTTTTATTTTGATATCGTTGATGTGACGTTTATTCAGAAAATATAATGTTGTAAATAAAAGTATTTAACCGCAATTGCGATCTAATAGTTTTTTTTGTTAAAGAAACTGTTTAAAAATTTTTTTTCTGTTAAATTTAATTAAAAAAAATAAAGTGTTTTAACTTTAAAAATTTCATGATATTTAATGTTAAGTTTTATATTAAGTTAATAAACTTTTATTCGCAAATTATTTTCATTTTATATGTAACAATTTTTGTTTATTTATTTATAGTTTTAAAACAATTAATTTTTTTATCCCGTTAAGAAAGTACTTATGATTAACTGTTTATTTAAGTATTTCCTCATCATCAAATTTCGAGACCCAGGGACAATTTTCCTAAAAAGAGAGGAAGTTAACATTCGACACTTAAATATTTTTTATAAGACATTAGTCACTTTTGAAGGATTCATCCTCCTCATTTTATTCACAAAATCGCCACTGGCTAGACCTGCAGATAAAGATATGTTTGAACGCTTAGTTGTTTTATTATTTTTTAATATTTATCAAATTTAGAGATAAATGATATTTTAGTGTTGAAGTTGCTTTTATGCATAAGTTTTTTCGTTATCTTTAATTTTTTAGATTGATCATAGAAAGAAAGTCGATTAGAATAGATTAACTAGGTTATGAGCAGTAGACAAATATTTTACCAAAGTCAAGTTCTTTAAAAAAAAATTGTCGATATATTTTTTGCTTTGTTTAAGCACTGTTTAAAACTGTAAACTATAGTAGGAAACTATACTTATAAATAAATGAAGCTTGTAAATACTATTAGAAAAAAATATATATCTTTTTATTTCTTTTAATTTCAACCCAAAATGGCATGACTCTGTCTAAGAAAATAAAAAGTCTACTCTGCTAATAAAATAAAAAATTTTATTTTAATAACGCCTAATGAAAAATTGTAATGAAAGCAATATGGTTTAGATACGAAAAGCAATCAAATTTCACTAGCAAATTAATTATACGCAATAAAAAAACAAATTTGTCTGTGAGTTTGCGCTATAAAATCAAGCTAACGATCTAGACAGTTGGCAAAAAACGTACCATCAAGGTCAGAAAGAAGCCAAAAAAAGCTTATAAAAATACCTCAACAAATAAATAAAAATTATTTTGCACAGCAATTTCTTTTACAGAAAAACTACTAACGTCATCGATTCATAACTAGCCATTGTAACAGCTTTCCTAACTATGTTTTCGTGGGTTGTTTTACAAAAAATTAATTTTGCGAAGCATATATAACACAAAGAAAATACATTACATGTTCACAATAACTTGCAATAACAACATTCTTTCTTTAAAATAATATTTGCTATTAACTCGCGTGTATCAATCTTGACCAGTAATGGCCACTAACTATGCATCAGATACGATCTACAGACACTTTCATCGCACAAATAAAATTTTGAATGGATGCAAAGTAGTATGCTTCAAATGTCTTGTACCCGAAAAAAGTAAAAGTAACGAGTTATGTGGTAAAGAAATTACATGTGCCGCAAAAGCTCGCATTAGCAACCTTATACGACACTTATCTAGAAAACATGCGGAGCTCCTCATTACGTTAGAAAAAAAAAAATTAGAAAAAAAAATAGAAGAAAAGAATAAGAAGCAAAAATATACAGCCATCAAAGGCAGCACTTCACAGCAATCCATATTAAAGTGTTTTGTACCACAGCAAATTAGTTTGCATATTACAAAAGATGAGTTTTTAGAAGCCTTAAACCAGCTGGTTTTGGTTGAAGGTCTTTCATTCCAGGTTCAATTTATTTTTTCGTTAGTAATTATTTTTTAATTAAAAAAAAAAAATCTAGACAGTTATATGTTTTTTTGGCATTTTTAAATTAACATTTATCATTCTAAAAACAATATCTATAGGCGTTTGATCGGGAACCTATTCAAAAGCTTTGCGGAAAAGTTTCATCTCATTTTGGATTTAAAATGAATAGAGATAATATGAGAATTCAAATTATCGATCTTGCCAAAAAGCATCGCGAACAAATCAAAAACAAATTAACGAAAATGCTAATTTATTTGAAAGTCGATTCTACATCAAGGCATATGCGTCACTACCTCGGTATAAATGCCCAATACTCGAACAATGATGAAATTGCTGTGATCAATCTTGGCACGATTGATACAAAGGGAAAACAAACGGCGGAATACACAAAAAAAATTATTGAGAAGTGTTTAGATAAGTTTGGAATCAATAAAATTAATATTTTAGGCCTCAGTGTTGACAACGCAGCAGTGAGTAACATATTTTGAAATTCACTATATTTTTTGTTAATAAAAAAAATTTTAAATTATGTGATTAAAGTTATTATTTTCCATAAAATCATTTAAAAATTAAACTATTTTGATAAAATCTTTTGTATACTGTAAGGTTCACTAAACTTTAACTATTGAAATCATATTTAATATCCTTAGGTGAATATAAAGTTGGTGCGCGACTTTGGCATCAGCGCCGTTGAAGATATTGGAGATGACGAAGACGATTTTTCAGTAGAAACTGATGAATTTGACGAAGATGGTTATTCTAAAGCAGACAATGCGGAAGCAGTCTTGGCAAGTGGAGTTGCCAGTAGCATGAGTGTTATACATCTTCAAAGATGTGCTGTCCACACTTTACAGCTAGCCGTAAATGATGCATTGAAAAGGCCCACAATAAAAAATCTAATTAACCATGCCAGAGATGTTGTCAAAGCTGCAAGAAATTCGAAGTGGATTGACTTCTTCAGAGACCAGACTCCACATCTCATTCCAATTTTAGATCAGGCTACCCGTTGGTCTAGCCAGTTCAATATGATTGAGAGGCTAATTAAGGTAAGTTATAACTTATAACTTCTAAGCTTTAATCAAAGTGTATAAGCCAGTTTTCTCACCGGTATAATATAAATCCAATTATTTCAATGGTAATGACATTTATACTACTTAATAATTTTTAAATGTTAGTTTATGTAAATATTTCTTTAATAATCCTCTTTATTTAAGTAGTTAATAACTTTGTACATATATTTAATGAATTCTTCTGTTCTTCTAGATTCGACCAGTAATTCAAAATCTAAATATGCAAAAAGAAGCTCCTAAAGAATTTAATGTGCGACCATGTTTTTGGGGTATGTGGGAGGAATTGAGAGATGTATTGCATATGGCACGCGATCTTACTATTCGTCTTCAACGTGAAAATATCACCGCAGGCGAATTTCTTTTTGATTGGAATTCAATTAAGTGTGAACTTGACGGGAAGGACAGTGACTTAGCCAAAGATTTCCAAAAAGGAATGGATAATAGAGAAAGCGCGCTACGCGAAAATCCGTTGTTTCTTGCAGCAGTTTACGTTGATATTAGGCATGGCTGTATGCTAACAGCGACTGAAGACAAGGTTGTTTTTTTAATAAAATTTTATTTATATATATTTATTTATTTAACTTTAAAAAATACATATTCCAAAAAGTATAAATACTTCTATAGATAACTGCAGCTGATGGACTTTGGAAAATACATTACAAACTTATTCAACTCGCTAATGAAAATAAGAATAATGAACTCAATAAAACCAAAAAAGCAGTAGAGCGCAACTCTTTTGCAGTTTATGTGTCAGACTCTAGTTCAGAAAATGAGGAGAATGCTTCACCAGTTGCAAAGCGTCGACCAAATTTATTTAAGTTGTGTGAACAGGAGGTTCAAGAAAATTCTTCAGAAGAACAAATGCAGGTTCAA